TGTTTCAATCCACAGTATTCCCCAGCTGAGGATTGGCTGGAAGTCCAAAGCTTACCAGAAGGCGACGTGAAACAGGTCCATTAATTTACACAGTTGAATAATCTAAAGCAACCAGTGTCAGTATCCTTAATGCATGGGAGGTCATGAGACTTGAGCACTTGATGTTACCTGCCCTGTGGTCTCAGTAAGTCCACCACATCACAGGGAGACATATCTGGGGAAATGAGGTACAGGTTCAATGTCAAGTACATGTGTGAACAGCCTGAAAATGGTGTGTGGGGTCCTTGGGTACTGATTATGCTGAGTTTTTTGGTCCCTCTTGCAGTTGTGTTACATGGGCCACCTGGCAGAGTGGTAACAGTAAAACTCCCAAACTTCAAAAGGGTGTCGCTACACCAGCTATAAATTGCAAGCCTATAATTTTGTTAATTTCTCTATTGTTGACCCTGAAGACTCCGGATGGAGAACAGGCCACCCAACTGGCCTATGTATAGTTTGGAGGAGGTGCTGCCCTGGAACCAGATGGTACTTCAAAGGGGTTACAACTTCACTGAAGTCTTCCTCCCACCAGATCTTTCATTCCTTTTATGAGGAAATGGAGAAAAGCCTGTCTCCTATCTTCGCCATAAACAGAAACCCATTCCTAACCTTGGCAGAGGCTCTGGTTCAATCTCTAAACATGTCTTCTTGCCATGTGTGTAGAGAAACCAACACAGGGCATCAGTGGCCATGGGAGGCTAAAGAGCTAGACCCCCATGAGCCCTACAGTGGAATCATTCTCTCCTCTTCAACCACTGGTGTCTGGTTCCTCAAAACCTCAATTGTTAGAAAATATTGTCTTACCTGAGAGGAAAAACTGTTTAACATCTCAGTTGGGTCTCTACCATGTCTGAGCCAAAAACTCTGTAAAATAACTACCCAGATAACTACACTGGCTATGTGGAAGGGCCACCTATGCTAAAGTGCCCCAATTCTGGTCCAGATCTGGTGTACGGGGACAATTTGCCCCTCCTTTTTCGTCCTTCCATTAGCAAGATGGGAGTAGTTGGGAGCCCCAGTATATGAAGACCAAGGGGCCCAAAGAGAGTGGCAGGCCCTGGCAACTAGCGACTAGAAAGATGACGAATGGCCCCCTGAGTGGATAATTCACTATTTTGGTCCAGCCACCTGGGCAGAAGAGGGGTCCTTCGGGTACTGAACTCCCATGTATATGTTAAATCACATCGTTAGGCTAACAGCTGTTGTTGAAATTATAACTAATGAGATGACACAAGCCCTCAATTTACTGGCTAAGCAAGGTATTCAAGTGCACAATGCTATTTATCAGAATTGTTTAGCATCAAACACTACTTGCTTGATTCTGAAGGTGAGATGAGTGGGAAATTTAACCTGGGCAACTATTACCTACAAATAGATGATGAGGGCAAGGTCAGAGTAGAAATCAGATTAAAAAACAACAACAACAAAAAAGGTCATTTATGTCTTGGTCCAGACTTGAAAAGGTTGGAATCACAAGGAATTATTTGAAGGATGGTTTTCAATTTTGGGGGGATTCAAAACTCTTACAAGTGTTGTGGGTTTAATGCTGGGAGCCTGCCGACTCCTACCCTGCCATATTACCCCTGGTTATGAACTCTATGTCCAGTCTCATGGAGGTATGGTTGGGCAGCACGTGTTATGATATCACAGAGACATAAGCCTTTAAGTCAGGATGATGCCCTTTGACCCTAAAGGGATCTGAGCATCAAAGGGGAGAATGGGGTAAGGGCCCTCCCAGAACCAAGAAAAGGCAACAAGTCACATTTACTGTGCATGCCAACTCCACTGTAAATCTGGGGTGACTCTGTTGTAACTCAGTTATGTGTGATGCTGTCCCAACTTTGTTGCAACTCTATAGCATAAAAATACCCAATCAGAATGTGTATTACCTTATATGGGAGACAAAGAGCTTGCCAGAGGTATATAAGGCCAGCATCCCTGCATACTCAGCCTTTGGATAACAATCCTCTGTGTCTCTGCAGGCACAAATAAATAAATTCCTTCCTGTTGAATGTCTCGGTGCCCTGTCTGTGTTCAAATTCCACAATAGCAGGGGTGATTGCTGGGGGCCTGGATGAGTCAACTGATCAACATCCGGGGTCTGCAGGATCTACTGGGGAATCAGCTGCCCCTGGGGCCATGCTCAGTGCCTCCTGCCTGCATTCCGTGGCCCGTGCAGGCTCAGCTCTGACATGCTGCACCAGAAGTTTTCCCAGCTCTCCTCACCCCTGCAACCAGCTGAACCAGGACTGGTCAACGCCTCCCCACCAGGAGCAACTCTGGAACGGTTCTTCTCTGGCTGCCAGAAAAGGGCACAGGTACCTACCGAGAAAGTTAAAAATCAGGGTGAGATTGGAAAGATCAGGGGTGGGTGGAGCTGAGATCATCCAAACAGAACTGGCCACCTAGAGCTGATGTTGCCCACCACACGTGGGCTTTCGAAGATGCTGTCCACTGTGCCTGGAACTATCCTTGTTCTTTTACCTACTGCAGTTTTGAAAATCCATTCCTTTAATGTTATTTCATTTAGCACCCACTATCTGCTAGGAACTATTCTAGATGATGAATTACACAGAAGACTCTATCCTCTGGGACATGGAGACAATCTCCCAATAAACGCCCTTCATTGACAGTCCAGATTGAAGGAAGTAACTGTACTGTGGGACGTGGCTTTTCCAGGCCCCAACACAGGCTCTGGCACATACTTGGTGCCCAAGGGAAGTAAACTAATGAATAATTGATGTGCATAAAGGCCCTGGGCTCAATCCCCAGCACCATAGATAAATAAATAAATAAATAAATGCCATATTTGGGAAGGTGGAAAATTCACCTGGCAATGGCCCTGTTATATTCCTAGGGCCCTAACAAATCTGTGCCTCTCAACAGGTAATCAACGAACTCTTTAAAGACATAATTAGAATCGCCATTCATAAATAAGCATAAATTGTATAACAACTCCTGTGTTAAGCCTTTTACATACATGATAGACCCAAAAAGTCACCTATGTCTCAGACCCCTCCTTGGCCCCGCCCACCCCTCAGAGCCTGCCCCTCCAGAGCCACGCTCTCAGCCCTTCCCAGTAGGGTCCTACTGGCTGCGCCTTTTGGCTCTGGAGGCCCAGAGTCCCTAAGCACTGGCTCACCATCACTGACCGCAGCCCCCGAAGGGTTTCCTGCTCCAAGCAGCACGCCACAGCTCCTGCACCAGCAGTAGGCACTCCAAGTCGCAGGTGCTCCAGCCGCCACTCGCTGCTGCCCACTGTGGCCTTGGCTAGTTGATCCAGCGCGTCGCACAGCATGAAGACGTCCACGCCGCTGCTCTTGCATGGGCTGCTGCTGGGGCTGCTGGCCAGCCCATAGTGCTCCAGCGCTTCAGCCACCAGCTCCCGCGCCGTGGCCAGCACGCTTGTGGTTGGCACCCGACGCCAGGCCCGTGCCAAAGATCTTGATGATCACCGGGGATGGAGTGGTGCCAGACTCCAATGGAGGCTCAAGGGCCACGCCCATTTGCAGCTCCAGCAGTTCTATCTCGCTGGCCCAGCGCTGCTGCGCGTCCCTGGGACTCGTCAGACCTCCAGCGCCCCCAGATTTGGTGGTGCCGGTCCCCGAACCACGAAAGAGCTGAGAGATGGGCTTGGTGTGGTTCCTCGAGGGTCTCCATACAGCATTCACTACGCCCACACGCCCATCACCTACATATCAGGACAGCTGATCCTACACTGCAGCTCGCGGTGTCACAGGAAGAATACCTGGGAGCCACCAGTGAAGCAAGACACAAGAGAGTCATCCAGAAAGGCAAGCAGACACCAAGATGGGGTCCCAGGAAGAGGGAAGCACACAAAGGCCGAAGAGAGAGACAGGGACCAAGAGAGAAGGGAGCAGAGAAGAAAGAATAGACAATGACCCAGGGTCTACCAAGATAGGTGGTGGGTAGAAGTCACAGAAAAGAGAGATTCAAATAAACAAAGGCCAATCCCCCACTCCCAAGAGGTGAGCAAGGAGGGGAGGAAGGAAGGCCACTCACAGCCGGCTCTGTGTGGCCTCAGTGCCTAAGCCCACCTCTGTGTGGCCCACCCCAGTGCCTAAGCCCACCTCTCCCCCCATGGGCCCAGGTAAACCAGTATCTGACTTCCTGCTCTCATCACCCAGGCTCCATGGCCCATTTATGACTGGACCAGGAGACAGGTCTCTCAGGGTCCCTGACAAGAAGCAATGCGTGGGGCTGAGCCCAAACCAGGGACAGATGGAAGGCAGGTGGGCCAGGGGCAGGTGGACCACTTTGTGGCTACTCACATGACAGAGGCAGGATGGGCCTGTGGCCCAGGGATTGGTGGGGAGGATGGATCCACAGGCACACAGGAGAGGGAGCTTTCCAAAGGGGGTGGGTGCTTCCACCCTCCCTCAATACACCAGATAGCCTGGCCCTAAGGGAAGGTGGATATACATCCCAAATGGGCTGGGGTTAGGGGAATGAGGCAGAGGGACATCTGGGAGATGGAGGGGCATCTGGGGAGAGGGATGGGCCCTGGACTACAGGCCCAGGAGGACTGATGGCTGCAGTGGGACCCAGGAGTCTTACCTGGCTCTTACCTGTTGCAGGTCGGGCAGCACCCAGAGGGCCTGGCTCTGATGTCCTGGGTTAGTTCCTGATCCCTTTAGAAAAGCCTGTGCCTCTGACCCAGCCCCCAGCACTGTGCGGCAGACATTAAAAGGCAAGAGGAAACCCAAGGAAGAGGTGGGAGGGGGTGTCCTGAGAAGACCAGGCCTGGGGCAGGAGATCTAGGTAGGCCTGGCCCTGGCCTGTTTCTTGGTTCTGGAATTATATCACAGTCTGCTGTCCCCTCCACCAGACCTCAGTGGTGCCACGTTCCTCACCCTCCTCCCTGAGGCCGGAGCCCATCTCCTGATCTGTCCTCTGGGGGAACATAAGGTATTAATTAGTCCAGAGGAGTGAGTCAAATACTTAGACAACAAGACACGTATTTAATTATTTTTTCACTTTGAGGTCGTTGTCCTTGATGTCTTAGATGATGTATTTTCAACTCCCTTCGAGGTCGCTGACTTTGTTGTCTTAACAGATGACGTCTTAGAAGCTGTATTTGCAAGGCTGCGTTGTGAGCACTGTTTCTGTCTGGATCTTCGCCAGTAAATTAGCCTAGGGGAGATTGAAGGAGGTTGAGAGGTGCAAATCAGGGAGTCATGTTAGGGAGGAAGCAGTTGGGACCCGCTCCCCAACTCCCAGCCCCACAGAGCTGACCTATTCAAACAACTATCAACGCCTGGCCCTCCTAGGTAAGCCCCCCACGCTGTAACTCCCACCAGTGCTCTGGAAACCTCAGTGGCTCTGCCAACTGCTCCAGCATTGGGCAGTAGGAAGCCCCGCCTCTCCCTCCAGGTCCCGCCTTCCTCCCTAGACTCACCTGAGAAGAAGGGCTGCTACCAGAAGTATTAAGAAGCAGATCAGCAGCCCAAAGAGGCGGCCTTGCAGCATACTCTGGGCCTGCGACCGCTGGAGGGACGTGATGGGCTCCAGGTGGGCTGACGTTGCTGTACTTTCTGTGGGGCTTTCTGAGTTCACATCAAACGGGCTCCCCTCAGTGTCTTCAAGCTTTTCTTTATGTTTCTCATGGCGGATTTTAGGGGGCAGCACTGATAATAGGAGGGCCAACAGCAGTCAGAGAAGGACTGAAGGCGCGCCAGCCCCAAGACCCAGGCCCTCCAGTAGAAACCTCCTAGGCAGCACTATCCCTGCCACGAGAGGCCACAACAGAAGCAAGTCCTCCAAGGCTGAAGGCAGAACCCCATCTGAAGTTAAGCTTCCAAAGCTGAGAATACTTCCTGTACCTCCTTCTTACAATACCCAGGGTCCCTGTTCTCTATCACCCCGGTACTGACCTGTGACATGATATGAAATGATAGTAGATGGGCCTGACATCACTGTGTCCAGCTCACAGCGATATTTGCCTTCATCCGCTTCAGTCACACTTGGCTTCTTCAGAGTTGATTCCTTCCCCTTGTACAGCAAGGTCTCAGAATTGTTCTCCCAAACCTAGATACAAGCTCAAGAGTATCACAGAGGCATGGGGATTTCAGGAATTGGGGAAATACAGGGCTGAGAAGCTCCCAGGGCCTCAGGAAGACAGGAATCCAGGGGATCATCAAGCAGGACTTGGGGTACCTGGGAGTCAGGAGTGACCTCACCTACTAGGCCATGGGGTTGGGTGTAGGCCAGGGGCTCATACCAGCTTGAGTGACTTGGGGTTTAAGGGTTACAGGAGTTGGAGGGCCCCACCCTGTAAAATTTGTAGTCTGTGAGCCCTTCAGAAATATGGTGCCAAGTGAGCAGACAGTCCAAGATCAGGTCTTCCAACTCATGGACCTCCACATGGCGATCTGAGGATGGAGCATGACTGTGAGATGGTTCTTCTGGGGTCACTGCCCTCCCCAAACAGTCTCAGCTCTATTTGGGCCAAGCCCTTCCCTGCCTCCTGTCTGCATTCTGAGCTCTCTGGACTGTCCCTCCTGTGGTTCCATCCCTCTCCCACCTACCCCTCCAGCCAGGTCCCATACTCACCCCCGCAGGTCTTGGACTTCAGGCATGTATGAACCTCCTTCTCACAGTTCCGGCACCATATCAGAGTCTGCAACATGACGCCTGGAGGGGCAAGGTCAAGGCTGTATTCATCCACTAAGGTAGGTCTGAAAGAGAGGGCAAGGCAAAGGACTGAAGGGCTGGGGGGCTATTGGGCCAGATCCCCTAGGAGGTCATCCCTCCAAGGTTAGTAAAGGGTCCAAACGGAATACACCTGCTACCTGCAAATCCAAGCCAGAGAATGGTGGCCGGAGACCCAGGAACCTCTCAGATGCTGTGAATGGGCATCCAAAAGGGGGAGGGGGAGGGGTGGGTATCATGGGCCATGATGAGGGTAGAAGAATAGCTTCTGCTGTCTGCACTCACCACATTTGTTGGGACAAAAAGCTGCATCGGAAAGAAAAAGAGGGAGAAGAGAATCAGACTTTTAAATGAAGAAGGGTGGGAGAGGGGCTGGGGAGGAGCTGAGGCGTGGGTTCTTGCTTTCCTAGGGAAAGGGCCTGAGGGAAGTTCCCCCTGAAGGGCAGGCAAGAGGAGGGGACTGAGGAAGCCAAGGCCTGGATGTGGAGATGCAGGGGGCTACAAAGAGGGATTCAAATGGTGGAAGGGAGATAGGGTAGGCTGGGCCCAGGGTTCCCATCTTCCCTCACCGTCCTTCAGGAACTGAGCAGACTCGTGCATAAAATCCCCCTTTTCCTTGTCCAACATCCAGTACAACTGCCTCACGAATTCCTCCCCTGGAAAAGAGTGGGGCGTGGCTCAGCTGTTCCTCTCTTGGTGGTGCAGGTCCTCATGGGGGCCTCTGTCTATGGAGTTGGCGTTGTTATTGTTATTATTTTTTGAAACAGCCTCTAGCTGTCATTCAGGCCGGTGTGTCTGGACTTCTGATCCCAACTGATCCTCCTGTTTCAGCCCTCCTGAGCACCATGGATTGTGGGGCATGCACTACCTGAGGGGGCTGGCATTCCCCTTTCTGCCTTCTCAGGAAGGGGCACAGAAATCAAGTACTTCACACAGTGCCAGTCACTGGGCTAAGCAATGCACAGGAATCAATCCATCTAATCCTCCCAGGAGCTGAGGGAGGAGGGCACTGTGATGCTGTCCAGTGTAGAGCTGAGGAAACTGCCCAGTTTCTTGTTTTAGGCCACATGGATAGAAAGTAGCAGTGCCAGAACTGGAACCTAGGAAATCTGGCTCCAGCGTCCTGCATCATACCAGCCAAGAGTCATCATTGACAGTAATGGCTGCCCCGAGATTCAGGACCCCCCAGCCCTTGGGTACACTAACCTTCTACTTCACTGTCTGTGATGACTTTCAGCTCCCTCAAGAAATTCGAGGCTGCTTGTTTTATTGTTTTTTCATCTATGGGCAGACAAGAACACCATGTCCCAACTTTACTGCCTCCTGTAATTTCTACCATGCCCATGGGAACACACTGCAAGGATAGACCTAACTAAGGAACTCACTATTCTGTTTCCCTCTGGGAATTGTTTTCTCACAGATAATTGCTAGATAGGAAGTAGAAAAACAGTGTTTGCTAGCTCTGGGAGGGCCTGGAACCTGTATCACAGACTTCTGTAGATCAGGAGAACCTGGCCCAGCCCCTTTCATCTCTGGCCCTAGAAATCCTGACCAAAACCCTCTTATGGGAAGCACCAAACATGCCCTGCGCTCACCTACGGCTCCCATATAGGAACCCTCTTTAATTGGCAGTTCCTTGAATTCGTTCAGAGTTTTGTGTACAATATCCATCACTTTTTTGTGACCTTTGTCATCCAAGTGTCCAGGCAGGTAGTCTGTCTCTAAGGACTTTACTGCTGCTATGACTGTCGGGTCACATGTGATACAACAGTCTGCAGGAAGCAGGCAGCTGGCCAGTGCAGCCAATGGGAGGGCAAAACACAGCCCCATTGAGCCAGAGCACTCAGTAGAGGAAACACCAGGAGGGTCCTCTCACCCAGGTCAAGAGCAGGTGGTGCTAAATGGAGAGAAATCAAAGCCTGTCTTAGAGATGCCCCCCAGGACCTCACATCCTCAGTCTCCCCCATGGGAAGGAGGATGTTCAGGAAATCTCCAAACCAAGAAGACATGTGTCCTTCATCAAATAACTCGAGTGTGAAATTAATCCCCAATCCACAAAGCCCCAAATTGAGGGTCTTCATTGCATCCTGAGACATCAGAACACTCTCAACCATTCCCCACATCAGGACCCAAGATCCCCAACCCGTGCAGACTCTCCAAGCTCCCAATCCATGGGATCCACAGCTCCCGCCCCCACCCGAATTAACGTGATCCTCAACTCCAAACCTTGACTGTACCAACCCTCACATACACAAAGCCCCAAACCCTGTTGCACCTCAGGCTGAAAAGTCCTTGTCCAGCTCAAATGAACTTTCCCTCATGTTCTCAAAACTCCCTCAAGACCAAAGTCCACTCCAGATCCCTTACCCTGGGGACCCCACGAATGTATGCAAGACTCCCAGCCACCCTCCTGTCCCTCCTGTCCACCCTTGCCCAAGGATACGACCTCTTATTTTCAGGGTGCACCTTCTCAGGAAACGGAGCCCCAAAGCGCCCTAAACGCGAGGCACCCTAACTCACTGGCCCCTCTCCGACCTTGATCCTTGACCTGTGCCCTCAAACCCAGGATTCACTCAGGATCCCATTCAGACTGTGAGGAACCGGTGCCGCGTCCTTCTGCCTTAATATTTCCCACGACTGTAACTCAGGTTTTGTGAGGGACAGTTTGGCTGCGTGAAGTCGACAGCTTTTCCAAAGGGTTTGTGTCACGGGAGGTCCCGGTTCCACCAGGAACTCCCGTCAAGTCCCCATTGGAGATCCCAATTCTGAGAAAGTACTTCCTAGGGCTTTCTTTGGCCACGCCCAGAATCTCAACTCTGCTTCTGATTGGACCACAACAAAGGGAGACCCGCCTACCTCTCCATGACGTCACAGGGACGGTGACCTTTACAGACACCTTCATTCCAGCATCCACCCTAGCCAAGTCCATCCTCACCATCTGGCTTTCAGAGCCCAGGACCGGGCTTCTGGCCCTCAGCGTCCTCCCTTCCTGGGCCCTGGGGACCTGGAGTCTGGCTTGGTGCCTCTGCCAGCCTCAAAGATAAGGAAGGGGCCATTTATAGCCTAAGACTAGCACTGCCAGAGGCGCTGGGGTCTTTTTCTCTACTGTGACTGGCGCCCCAAGCTTTATGGCGATTGAAGTTCAGTAATGATTCTCTTTCCTCATTTCAATTCCACAGTCTCCTCCCAGGTTAAGGAAGGAACGCCCAGCTCTCAGTGGGACGGGAGTTCTTGAGGCCATTAATGGGGGTGCTAGAGAAAGGT